ACAGTTGTACGCCTTTAGGAAGTCCTGTAGTTCCACTTGAATATGGTAAGAAACAAATATCGTCAATACTTCGTCTGACTTCTTTCAAACAGGACTTATCTATATGTACATCTTCAGTCAATTCATGGAATGAAACTATATCTTGTGGTACTGATTCTCCATTAGTCTTTACAGCTATTATAGGAATATTTAATTTTGCTAATTTTATAGCTTCTTTAACAGTGTTCACTGTTTCGCAAATAGTTACAACTGCTTTTGCTTCACTTAGTAGCAATTGTCGTTGTATTTCATCTGGAATTATTTTATTCATTAATAAAATATTTTAATTAATGTTGATGAAAATGTGTTACGGCATTGACCTTTTATCGATCAATAAGATTTTATTCAATACTAGCTGTGCTCGCGACTTCGTCCGCGTGAAATACTTTCTTTGTTTGTTTTATTTTAGTATAATAAAATAAAAAACAATTCTAAAATAAAGGTAGCCTTTGTCATTCCTTATTACAGTTACCTACCAGTAAAAGTCCCTTCAAAATCGGTCTAGCAAATTTCAAAGAGAAGCCGGAACAAACAGACAAACATACAGACTAAAATTGTAAAAACAATAAATATTGGTTGTTTGTTTTGGAGACTCCAATTTTTATATGTGTAGAATTTTAGCCGTCGGCGATTTAGCGAACAACTTTGTTTCGGTGAAGTAAAAAGTTTAAAAAAATTGAATGAATTCGGATTTCAAGAAATAAACATAAAGTAACATTGCTGAATAATTTTCACAATTTTAAATTTATGTTAATTTTGAACTATTTTTTAATAATGAGGAACATTGCTTTTGATGCTTATCATTTTCTCGTAAACTCAAATAACAGCTTGATTGTGTTTCGAGAATACGATCATCTTAAATTACACTCACTGACAATACAAGCTTACTTACACTGGTTAAACGCCTTTGTGAATACACAATGAGAATTTGCTTTAATATTTCGGTTCGGATCATTACCTACATCGTTTCAAAATGTCATTATTATAAAGCAAATTCATAAAATTACCACTACATCTTTTGCGTTAGTTTCCAAAAGAAAAGTTGGACAAGGTTTTAAGTGATATAAAAACTTAGAACAAAACAAAGAAGTCGGAAAGATCAAAGGAATGTAGAATGAATTTTCCGAAATGTATTACTTTACTTAATATATGTTTGTGATTAATCGAGTAGCTAAAGAAAGATTTTTTTTTAATTTCGTGATGACAATTTGTGCTAATTCATGTGGCGTGTTAATTTGATACAAAAAACTTACGTGGGGTATATACGGGGTTAATTGTACTAATAACACCCCCAGCTTCTAATATTCCCAATGCGACGAGGGGAAAGTCGGGAATATTGGGCAACATAACAGCTACCG